CGGCAGCCCGCGCTGGGCCGGGGTATCGCTTGCTGCCCCGCGGCGCGGCGAAGTAGGTACATAGTGTTCTGCTGTCTTGTTCGCGTTGTTTTATTTATAAGGCTTGGGTCTGTAGGCGGGGGAAAGGCTTCAGCCTGCAGGTTTATGTGTACGTTTTTTTAAATCCTGGGTTAAAACTTGGCTCTGCTCATCCAGCTGAGCAGATTGCCAGGTTCCCTTCGAGTGACTGATGGAGTTGGCTTCTCAGACTACAGGTCGCTTCTAAAACTCAATACTTTAGATGAAGTAGCTAGCAGAGCTCAGGACAGCAGATCGGAGCCGGGTGTCTCCCTCAGCCTTCCTGGAGATTTCCAGTGTGGTTTTGACCAAGTCTTTTAATCCGCCGTGTGCCTCAGTTCCCTGCTTGCAAAACGCTGAAGCGTTTCCCACATTAGAATGTAGCAGGGTACTTGGTGCTCCTCAGCAACGGGAAGCAGAGTAACCGATTAAAAAAAATATATATATAACTTAAAAAATCCAAATTACTAGCGTGCTTATTGTCACAGGGTAGATATTTCCTTTTGGTTCCTAATTTCATAAAAAGGGTATATTGAAAATGGAGCTGGGTAAAGCACGGTTATAATGCTAGTAGGTGCACCAACTCAGAAAGCTTGTCTCTGTGCCTTAGGGCTCTACTTCCTTATTGGTCCAGATTGTGAAATCCTGTGAATGTTTTGGGGAGTTGAAATTCCAGTCATCTTAGTGTCTAAGAGCTGAATGGGTCTTACTTAAGATCAGGTTTTATGACCCTCTTTTCGAGGCCTGAAATGCAAAACGATAACTGAAAAGCTGATATGGACTTTACTGTGGTTCTACAAGTATTATAGATACTTATATCAGAGACATATGTGCAGCCTATGAACAGTGGCATCTGTCGTGTACTACAAAAAGTGCTTAATTTTTTAACTTAAGTTTAAAAACTACTTCAGATGTTAAGTTGCCAATACATGATACTATAGACTGCACAGGAGTTAGCTGATGGCATGGTTGTAAACTTGGAAATAATATATGATTCTCTGTTCAGAAGCAGTTATGAACAAGGAGAACAGCAACCCTGTCCAGAGATTTTAATGAGTCATGGATTTTATCATAAATGAATACACATGAATTCCACCTGAAGTATGTCCTGTTTGATGTTTTTAATGATTAAAACTGTTTGGGTGGTCTGTCTTAAATTGAATTCTCTGACTGTTCAAAGAGAGATCCTTTTTAGGTGTGTGTGTGTGTTGTTTTTCAAAGAGGAGGAATTTGTTCTTATATCTTCTGGAGAGTGCAAAACAGTAGAGTTTGCAGTTTTATCTCTCTGGTACTGCCTGCACAGTGAGTACTGCCGAAAGCTGAGACTCCTCACATAAGCCTGATAGGGTGGTTTGGTTTTGTTTTTTCCAATCTATTAATAGAACAAAATACTAAAATGCTTAAATACACATTGTGAAGAACTGGGCTGCTCTTGAACTGAAAACAAAGGCTTCCTAGTGAGATTTTCTTTTTTAAAGGCTAGTCCCAGGTGTATTAAATATGGACTTCTTTCCATTTTCTGTCACACTCCTAACCAGGACATACCCAGTGGGACGAAAACCTCTCTTGCAGTCATTGCTACAAACTGCTCTGTGAGAAAAATGCAGATTGTACAGTTAAGCTGTCCTCTCTCTTCCTAGACTCAATGATTCGAGTCCTGTACATTTTGTCCAGATGGGGGAAGGAAGGTACAGCATACCCGAGTGGCTGCATCCCACCAGGCAGGTCTCAGAGAAGCTGGCCCGAGGGAGGTGCTGGGTGCCCAGCTCGGCAGGTGCTCTGGGTGCTGGCAGTGCAGCTCCGGCGGTGCCGCAGCAGCTCCTGGCTGCCAGAGCACCACTTTATTTTTGTCCTGAGATTAGCAGGAAGGCTGTCCAAGAGGAGCTAGGGATTACGGGACAAACAACGCAAAGCTGTTGCAAACCAGGTTTTGTCAGTTGTCTTGTAGGCAGATCTAGCTTCCTCGTGTAGCTTGTCGTCTCTTCTGCGGGTTTTCTCTAAGAGACCTTGAGTTTGAGATACAGTGTTTTGGAATATTCTTGCTCTGCTTAATTTTGGATGTTTCACTAGGCGCTGCCTGCTGCTGCTAGACAAGGAATAAACGTTGGAAGTTTTCTTATCTGAAACACTGTTCATCTATGAATAAACTGGAAACAGGTGTATTATTTTGAAAGGATATTTATAGGCCCCTGAACGTGTAAGAAAGAAAAAAGCCAAAACCTAAATGTAAAAAAAATCTTTTTGCCTCTGTGAATCTCATTATTAACAAGGAAGTTTCAAGTATTTGGGAAGAGGAAAGATGGTTGGATTTACAAGGAGAAAGAGCTGATGCAGACTTACAAACTGTCATGCAAATGGAGTTTTATTACCATTATAAAGAAAAAGATTGCAAACAAAAAACTAAAAGACAAAGCAGTCCTCCCACAAAACATTGTCTGCAGTGTTGTGTAACAAAAGTGATAGTGTTATGCAAAGGTAAGAGTCAAGAAGTGAAAGGGCTATAAACAAAAGCTGCGGAGGGAATGCCACCCTGTGTGCAGGCAGGTTTGTGGTTGTGTTGTATTTATTTTAATAGGGTGCTGCTAATTACCCACATGAAGACACAAGTTTCAGGATGTAGACAAATTCTGTTGATGTAAGCCTGGTGGAGAAGGGTACAACATGGAAATATCAAGTAAAGACTAAGAAATAAGCACAGGTAGCAGCAGGGTATAGGAGCAGGGGTCACTGAGGGATTAGGAACCTGTAGCTGTGGTGAGAGAAGGGAGCAAGGTGCAGGGTCAGGGGAGTGCTGTGGCTGCGGTAATCTGCAATTCCCAGCAATATCCTCCTGGGTAACTGAGGCATTAGGGGAGGATAAGCATGAGGTCACTTGAATCATCAGTTGCTGTCCTCTGCGTGTCTGGTACTTGTTTTTTCTCTTTCCTTGCACTTTACGTCAGCTTTTCTTTTTACAGTACTTTTTAGTCTTTCGAGTGGAGTGTGTATTCAGCAGATGAAAAGCAAACTATTTGCCAGTTTAGAAGTATTTTGGCTATTGAGTTTTTGAAGCCTCAGGTAGTACATAATGAAAAAAATCCTGGAAATGTTTTACCCGTGACCAAAAAGCTTTTCCCAGAGTGAAAGTGCAGACTCTTCCTGAATACTGTGTTGCAGTACTTGTCTTCCTTCCCTCTGCACTTTTTTTATTTTTTTTCCCCTATCCCAGAAGATAGTAAGTTTGGCTCTGGAAACTCTCTTCCAGTGAGGGCGGAGTGAAATTATTTTTGCTGCTTTCTGCCAAAATGAAACAAAATGTGTCAAAATGAAAATTGTCTGGAGCCAATAACTTGTACTAAAGCTTGTTTCTAATTTTTTTGGCAGCTGATACTTTTTTTTTTGTTTTGCTCCTATACTGATGTTGTGTGGGTGTGTGTGTGAGTGAATTTCTTGGAGAAATGCCAGGGACCTGGAGACAGGGACAGTATCAGCTTTTATGAAGTAT